CATACATACATACATAAACTTTATTTGAGTGTCGGAGTATTTAGCTAAAGATAACTAATTGGGGACACTAACATAAATACAAATATAAAATATAAAATATAAAATACTAGTATTATATAAAATATATAGATAGTTAATGACTAAAAATATTTTTTTTAGCTAGTTAAAAAATAAGTTCAAGATTACTTAAATTAATTGACAGTTTGCTCGCCTTTCCCTCTTTTCGACCAATGGTATTTCACTTCGCTCAGGCGAAACAGAAATGAAAACATTACAGAGATCAAGGCAGGCTCACTTTCTTGGCACCTCTTCACCAGACTCCTTCCCGCCGCATCGCTTTGCTCTTCGCCGCTCGCGCGCGTGAACCAAAGGTGAGCCTGCTCGCAGGCTAATTGACAGCAAGACATTATGCTATCTTGAATTGAATGGATGCCTGCAAGGCAACATGCTACGGCACTACGCTAAGGTAGAGATATTTGATCTGATTTTACTCATTTTTCGGGCCCTACTGTGGGGTCTTTTACCAAAAAATATACTGAAAAGTTAAATGCCCCACATATGCCCAAGGTCTCCCCCCCACCCCCCTCTTGTGCTTAACATTGATAGAGATGCATTACCTCCAATTCAAATAACGAGCAAAACGATGAACACAATTAATACCAAAAAAAAATACTGCATAACGCTACACGTTACATAGTAGTTTTAAACCAATTATAGCATAAGGGCGACCTGTTCTGGCCGCAAAACAATGTGTTGTCGTTCACGAACTAACAATTTCATTGATAACACTGGATTCTAGTGCTATGAAAACATTTAGTGACTGAAGTACTTTAGGAAATTTAATTTTGAAACTGCAAGAGGAGGAGGAGAAAATTGTATGGAGCAAATGACAAGGCAAATTAAAAAAAGGAATCATAGTTGTTTGTGGTATAAAAGATTTCGTTTATTGTTGCATCTCACGGCTAATTCTGACTGGAGAATATGAAATCGGCACTAATCTGGTCGGCATGTTACGCAACTTAGCATACCTGGTCATCGCTGAGTTCCATTTTGCTTCCCCTCTTGCCAACCCTTTGCCCTCCAGCTCCTGGCGTGAACGCGCTGCCCGAAGTTAAAAGAAAACACACGAAGAAGCCCAGGAGAATCCAAGATAGTGCTGTGTTCATTTTGATCCACTTATAAAACTCCGTAGCCGTTTCCTCGCGAGAGTTTTTGATCCCTTAATTAAGAACGGCTGTTTTAGAGAATTTGTTGATCTCTACATAGCATAAAGGGTTGCCTTTTATAGGTTTGGGCATAGTGGAGGCTGATAATGGTCAATGGTGATTTCCCTTGAGATGAAATGCTTCCTTAATGGGAAATAATGTGAGATAATCAATTTATGAACAAAAGGCAAATGAAGTTTCTTTCGCAGTTTCCTCCTCATACGCTATTTTATCCCCCGCACTTAATATCACATCGCCCCAAGATTTACTTTGCCAATTTGCTTCCTAGTTGATGACAAAGAAACACTGTGGACCTTTAATATCGAGCGATAAGGCCGGAGTAATTGCAAAAAAAAAAAACGGAAAGCCTACTTAGGTGTCTCATGTCACGTTTGCATTAAGAAAGATGTAACAAAATAATGTCTTTTTCCGATTTGTCTGCTTTCAAATTTATGATTTTAATGTATAGGACTTGTAAAAAAGGACAGACAGATCAGTAGCTGTTTTTTAAATTTCTTTTTGGCATAATTACCCATTAGATATATTGTATTCCATTTACAAAAGCAAATTTATTCTCCAATTAATTACTTTTGATGGCATTAAACTACATAACGCTTACGCCTACGCTGGCACAAATAACAACAATAGACTTGGTATTGCACTGAAAGGTTTAAAGTAATTGCCATGAATTCCTCGTGACAGCAAGAGACCAATAATACACATGTGCTCTAATAAACAGTTCTTTTAAATTTTGTAGTTCTCCGTTTTAGAGTGTAAAGTTGAGACGAAACATAACCAAATTTGTAAATTTYTAAAATTTGTAAATTAACATTACTTTTAATTTCTGTTATTTTTTCCGCATCTGACAAGTGAAGTGATCGCTTTTGTACTAACATTTCTTTGCCTAGATATTTCCTTTCAGATCCGAAACTAACTTTGAAGTTACTGTTATAAACTTTCCACATTGCGACTCCCTCTTGTATTTTTAACATTTACTCCTAACGTACCTGCATATACTGAGGCTAGAATGCAAAACTTAAAGTACACGCCACGGGGAGATTAAGAAAAAAGCATTTAAAATACATGACTTAGCACATGATCTCTCTTCTCATTTTTCTATCAGCATACGAACGAATGAACGAACGGTTTACTTATTTACAGTGAGGATTTGAAAAACAGCTTAGCTCTCTATAAAACGAAAGCAAGCTTTTAATTCGCGTTCGTAACATTTATAACATTCTTCTATCAAGATCTGAGAATTTTGCTGGATTTAATCGTTATCATCCCATCTATGCACGGATTTACCGATACATAATTCAGGCGATGTTTTGACTCCCTCGTTCTTTGTCTTTTAGTCCTCATATTGAACACATTGCATGAAGTATGGTTGAGAAGAATGTCACGGTCACGTGGCTTCATCTTTGATAACATTTGTAACGAGCGATTGAATCTAAAGAAAATAATTTTTTCCTTATACTTTGGAAACCAATGATTCAATGACACAAATGTTGTTAGAGTGTTTCTCCATAACGCTGACTTTGTTGATCACAGCTTTGGAAGTTGATAATTAAAGAACTATTCAAGGATAATGAGAGTTCAAATAACGTGAAGAAAGTGTGATTATTGTTATTAGGACGTGCGTTGAAAGTGAGACCTGCTTGAGAGAACGAAAGGGCACTATTACTGTGTGCTTGTGCATAGAAAAATGAAATATTGAGGGGTAAGGTGACAGAGAAAACAGATAAGCCGAAGTGCTCAAAATGTACCTTCTTTGGAATAAAGCCAGGGAGACAAAAGTAGTTTGCTTATCATTCGCATAGGAGAGAAAGGTCAAGCAGTAAATGGATAAACTAGAGATAACTGAACGGAAGGGGAAAAAATACCTACATTAATATTATGACTAGCACCTACTAGCGGCTCCCTTTAATCACTGGGCAGTTATTGCAAAAGATAAAGGAAATGACATCTTGAGTAACTCGACGGAAATTAAAATGTACATTTAATATAAATACGCTCAATTATTCGTAATCCATTTTTGAAAATAAAGTTCAAAGTAGATGAAAGAAAAGCATCCCAAGGGCAGATATCAGATTTATCGCACGTGCTACAGGGAATGGATGTTACGATATTGCTAATGGTTGGTCTCGTCGCCGGGCATAATATGTGATGATCTTCACTCACATTCTCTTAAGTTGGGTTAAGGGTTGCGACTTTCGTTTCGTTTCCAACCCTTCATACCCCTTGTGCGTCTCGATACTTATATCGTCTCATTTTCTCCCGTGCATCTTTCCATACGGGTTTCTTACGTTCATTTTCTTACGCTTGAGGCTATACCCAAATGTTTTACGTAAATGGTGGTGGTGATAATATATTGGCCATGTAACGAAAATCAATCGGTACTTCTGAAAAAGGCACCTCATCATTAATGAAATAGCTAAGTTTGTGATATTGTTTATTATATAACTGAGAAAATTACTTTATTGTGAGTGGCTGCGGAGAGCGTGCTGACTTATTGTTTATGTTTAATTGCACTGCAGTGAAAATTAGCGAACGCGCGTTCGTTTTTTCTAAATCATGTAATGAATGTCTTGCGAAAACGTAAGAAAACTCGAGCAATTGAAGTGGCCGAACACAGTTTTCAAGTGCCTTTGCCTAATTCACCATTACTTTTAAACTGTTTATGCTTTGGCGCCCGTTTTTCTGCAAGAGTCAAGGTTAACCACAGAAGGGTTTATTCTCGCATTTT